TCATGAAACCGGAATCTTTGCTGATCAATACGTCTCGTGGCCCGCTGGTTGATGAAGAGGCGGCCATCGAGGCTGCGACTCACGGCAAGATCGAAGGCTTGGCGTTGGATGTATTTGATGTTGAGCCTCTACCAGCCAACAGCCCGTGGCGATCTAACAGCTGGGGGAAAGAAGGAAGAAGTCGAGTATTGCTCACACCCCACATGGGATATGTAGAAGAAGGAATTATGAACACTTGGTATGCAGAGACGGCTGAGAATGTAGAGCGATGGCTTGAGGGCAAGGAACTCCTCCACAGACTTGTGTAAATACTAGTTCATGCGTCGAAATATCGCTGCACGTTCCTTCGCTTCTTTCTCTTATTGGTAATTCTTTGGGAATAGAGACCGTCAAGCTCAATCAAGAAGCTTATGCAACCATGAGATCGTTTCTCAAGAGACATCGACATTCAAAACAAAGCATTCAAACGAAATTGGCGAGGATTGGCATGCAATGCATCGTATCTGAATTCTTTTCGTCCGTTGGGATAACGAGTATGGAAATTTGTTTTGCATTTCTGGCTGCCGGGCGAGGATGAGCTATTTGGGTTGCGATGACTCTTGAATAGAGAACAGCTTTCTACAAGATGGAACTAATATCGACTGGAATATTTCTCGACCTAATCCAAAGAATAAAGTAAATAACGAGAGGACGTTGTTTCGGTACAATCAAAAATGCATTTTAAATGCAGATTCCAGAACAATCCGCGCCCCCCTTTTTAGGATCACACGAATCCCATGGGTTATCATAACAATATTTATCCTCCGGACATTGGATATTGGCGATCCCACCGCACATCGGATAGGCAGAGCGATCATTTGGGATACAGATGCCTGGTTGGGCCTGGACTTTCTTTTGCTTCCGTGGATCACGCCCGCATTCAAATCCTCGTGGACAGCCCCCAATGTGAGGACCGCATAGAGGATAGTCGTTCTTGAACCAGCACCGGCCGCCGCATATCTTCAGGTCTTTGCAATTCGGGGCGAGAGGGACGCAGTGGGCATCGTAAGGACAAGTTCTCCCGAGGCCGCAGTATTTATCGGTTGCTTGGCTTGCCACAGTGCCAAGGAAACTGAGGGCATATGATAAAGCAATCGTAGCTTTCATGGTCTTTTGTGGAGAGGTGGTGACGATAAGTCGAACATTTCCGGGGAAGGAGTTATGGGGGTAGGGAAGAACCAGGTGGCAATTATATCCTTCAGATTGTCTCATTCTCCTATATTATACAAGACACGGTGGCGGTGTGGAATTGTTCAACATGGCACAAAACTGTGCCCATCCCTGAAGTCTCAAATTTGAATCAACCCGATGCACTCCATTCCACTCCAGGAATCCAGACTCTTCAATTCAAAGCCACCATTGTAGAACGCGGATCTTTCAAATGTAGAAAAAGGATACATACATGGACTGAACATCACACTTCGGCCAACCGAATATGCCAATTGTCAAAGAGATGATTGAATTGAAGATGGAAGCGTTCCCTACAGCCCGAAGTTGACTTTCTATATCTACGGCGTACGACCCCGAACGTTATTCTGCTTATCATATAAGGCTCTCTGGCGGTGAACAATATTTACACACGTCCCAATAACCTCGGTATCGGACTGCATCCTCGAGTCATGTCTCCTACGCCTAGAGCTTAGCTTGTAGACGACAAGACAATGTGACTGAATCCTGGAAAAATAATACTGAAAGATCCTCGGACAATGTCCTGATAATTAGAATGGGAATCTTGTTATCTTTGTTCTTGTTGTATGGGGTAGAACCTTTTATCTTTTATTACTCCAGCCCTCTGATAGCGTCATGATTCTAGGACCTACTGCACGGCTATTTCACACAGTGTCACTCACACAAGAACAGCGCTATAAATCTAAACATAATCGACAGTGTGATGTAGGGGGGAATAACGGCGGTTGGTAAGGGATGAGTGTTATCAGGACGAAACATGACCAAACTGAGACAGTGGTAGATTTCCGTAGCCCGATCGGCCGCGTCTGGAAAGATGAATCATTTTTGGGGCCGATTCATATGTGGATTCGGGTCAGCCAATTTTTGCTGTCAGTCGGCTGACCATTTAAACGAACCATTTACACGGAAAGTTAACTGGTCCCTCTTGCAGGCCCGCTGTGGTTCCAGGCCTCTTACTGCAGCGAGTTTTCAGCTTGCCTCAAGGCGCATTGAAGAGAGTTGTGCACTTTGACTATGACCCGAATTCTATTAACACGGTGAAAATCAGACACTTGCTCCCATTGAGGATATGTACTACTTATTGCTAAGATGAGTTTTGAGTATCCATCGGCTTCCCGGCTGGTTGGAGCGCGTGTAGTTGAGGTCTCTATTCGCTTGTGTCCGTCTTCTGCTTTGCTCACCCGCCGTTAACGGCAATTGTAATAACGCTAATATTACACTATCTTTCAGCTCGCCCACACTTGATAAATGAGCTGAACTGGGCTGAGCTGCACTGAAACGAGGATGCTAGGGCCTCCGCAGTAATTATTAACTACTGGTAGGCTCTCCCGTCAGCCTTAAACCCCAGATCGAGTAATAAACGAGCAAAAAGGGGCAACACAGCCATCTTCCCACTTGCAGATCAGTTTTTCATTGCTACCATTTACGCGCTGTCGGGTACCTGGAACCATCATGGCGCCGATTGAGACACTTCCTAACGAAGTTATCGCCTATATTGCGGAATTGACAACTCGCGATGAGGCCAAGTCGCGACGGTCTCGTTTGAAGAACCACTCGAGATTTGCCCGCACCAATCGCCATTTCCATATCATCCTCAATCCTTTGCTATACCACATTAACCTCACCAAAGACGCGCCGCTCGATTCGTGTGTTCTCTGGGCCGCTCAGTTCGGCAAGCTGGACACAATCAAAAGAGCGCATTCGTATGGCGCGGACCTTAGCATGAATGGAACGAGAGACGATGAGGATCTCGTCGTGGGCTTCGACAGCATCCCTGGGCGTCTGAGATTCCTCGCCTCGCCGCTCCATTTTGCCATCCAGAACGGGGACAGGGCCATGCTCGACTACCTGATGGAGCAAAATGTTGATCTCAACGTGCCTTCCAGAAGCTTTTGCTCTTGCGACGGCTATTATGATGGCCCGCGCATGTATCCACTTCATACTGCTCTCGACCACAGTGGTATTGATGATGCTGCGGCCCTGCTCGTTGATAGAGGCGCATATCTTCTGAGTAAGGGCTCGCCGGCCATCTGCCACGCCAACTCTCTGGGACATACGAAAATCGTCGAGAAGTTGCTTTGGCAGCCGGAGCCTCTGGCTATTGCCGGAGCCCTTCACTATGCCATCGAGAAACAGGACCTGGGTCTGACGCGAGAGCTGCTTGAACGACCAGGGGCAGATGCCACGATCACGAACAACGATGGCCAAACCTGTCTCCACCTCGCTCTGGCTCGCCCGTCGCCGATTGAACATGGCATTGTGTATTTGATCCTGGGACGGCCTGAGGTTGACGCATCGATCGTCGACAACCAGGGCGATTCGCCTCTGCATATTTGTGCAGGCTCACCGCATCTATTAGAAATTGCAAAGTTCTTGCTAGCCCGACCCGACACCAAAGCCTCGGCTAGGAACAACAACGGGATAACTCCGTTGCAGCGCGCAGCACAAGCTGGAAACATCCCCATGTTCCATCTTCTCGCGGTCCAGCCCGAGGCTGATCTCAACGTAGTCGACAATGACGGCAGGACAGTGCTCCATATGGTGTGCGGCGCCCCTGAAACCGAAGAGACGCTGGCCTTGGTTGGGTCACTCATAGATCAAGAGGTCCCGCTTAACCGAGTGTCACGTAAAGGCACCGCTCTTTACTGCGCGTTTGCTCAGCACAACTTCAAGACGGCGCAGCTACTGCTTACCCGTGGTGCCGCAGCGGATCTAGAGGGGGACGGTGACCATGCCAAGTCGCTCCTGCACCATTGCCTTGAGAAACCTCATCCGCTGCAGACTGAATTGGTCAAGGAGCTTCTGGCTCGGGGCGTGGAAGTCGACGAACAGACTAATGAAGAACTGGCGCGAGATCTGGGCGACGAGACTGCGTTTTCTTCGGGGGGCACTCCTCTTTTCTTCGCAGCAGCTGGTGCTAAGAATGTGGAATGCATGAAGATGCTGCTTGAGGCTGGGGCAGACGTCGAGGCGACAGTGGTGAGCAAGTCATGCTTCTACTATGACGGCTTGGAGATGTCGGACAAACAAGGGTTTATTGCCGCGCTCTTTCGTCATACCTGTGTCGATGATCGCAAGGCCGAGATGAACGATGAGAGTGTCGAGGAGCTCAAGGAGCGTCTTACGATTCTTCTTGAGCATGGCGCGACGATAGGCGGGGAGGGATATGGGATATCCGCGCTTGCGTTTGCTATGAAGCATGCGAACGAGGGGAAGCCAGCGCTTCTCAACTTCTTGGTGGAGAGGGCTACCGCCTCAAATATTCACCCAGATGACGTCCAGGAAGAGATCGATGACGAGGACTGTGAGCATAGCGAGGAGGTTCTGGAATGTGTTCGGCGATTTAAGGCAAAGCTTGTCGAGGAAGCTGGCGATGACGAGGATGTTGAAGACGAAGAAGAAGTGGACGATGGGGAGGACGAAGAAGGAATTGAAGAGGATGCTGGGGAAGATCTCGAGGATAGGGACGAATCATTGGAGAGAAATGAGGATACCGATGGAGACGCCAGTATGGCCTCGAGGTAAATTTCATGTATCATGTATGGATCTAAGTAGCGTACATATCCGAGAAGAAGAAGAGTCTTAATAAAGCTGTCGAACGAATCTTCGATCTCTGCGTTCTCGACCGAGGACCTTCCTCTGGTACATGTCAAGCAATTCGTGGCTATCGAGCCAGTGTCGGTAAACTCTCTATTTGAAGATGTATCGCACACCATCGTTTATTAGTCTATAAACAGTCCAGGCTATCTCCATCAAACATTTACAGGTAGAAATTACACAGTGTATCTGAAGTCAGGGTGGCCCTGAAGAACCTTCTCGCCACGGTCCGCCTTGGCGTTTTCCCTCTTGAAGTACCACGTGTTGAAACAGATGACGATCAGCGTCAGCACAGCGCAGCCGATGGAGGCGTACATTCCCGGTCGATAGGCGGGAGCGTCCTGGCTACGGAACATGAGGGAGCCGGCGATACCACCGATACCACCTGTTCCGATCAGCGTAGCTGAAGAAAAGGCGCGTTTCCATTGTCCACGAATATTGTTTGACTTTGAATTATTAGCTGATAGCCGATAAATGGGAAAATCTGTTGGTTCCTTACCTGATAAGTCATGCAAGCTGGGATATTTGTGTTGAAACCGCAGCAGATGAGGAAAACACCAAAGTAAGCAACGCCAGAGTTCTTGACAAAGCCCTGCAATAAATTGTCAGCAATCAAATTCTAGTGATGAAGTTCTTAGGCAGATCAAGGGGATTTTTGACAATGCGTTGGAGAGGATTAGCAATGTTGTTCTTCTTGGGCGACTTACCATAAGGCAGAGTCCAACAGTGCCAACCAGTGTGTTGAAGATCATGATGGGCCCACGGATGCGATACTTGTCGCTAATCCAAGCAGTGAGATACATCCAGCAAGCTGCGGCGAAATATGGAGGCGCGATGAGGCACTGTGAAGCGGCAAGTGAGAAACCCATCTGGTTTCGCAGAATGATGGGCAGGAAGTAGGCCACGGCGTAAGTAATAGCTGTCAAACCACTGTGAAGAGAAATGTTAAGTTAGCGTGGCTCTTGAAGTACTTGTGTGCTTTGACTCACAAGAAGATGAGGGCATAACCATAGATGAGGGGATCTTTTCCTGAAGAAATCCACTTCTTGAAATCCCAAGGCTCGTCTGCAGCGTCGCTTCTATCAGCGTCGATAGCCGCCATGACCAGGTCACACTCCTCCTTGGTAAGCAGACTGGACTTGAGGTAGGCTCGATCGGGGAAATCGAGGATGGTGAAGAAGCTGATAATCGAGATAACAATCGTGAGCTGAGAATGAGAATGCGTGTTAGTCGGGCTACTCTCAAGCAGTAAATAAATGAAGGGGGGTTCAGGACTTACCAGGCCCTCAATGATGAAAATCCATCTCCAACCCCTGAGACCACCAACTCCTTCCTATCACCGCAACATTAGTGATGGTTTTTCGGATTAGTAGAGTCTCGGAACTTACCATCTGCATCAAGCCATAGGCAAGAATTCCTCCCAGGCCAGAAGAGAAGAAACCAATGGCATAAAAGACAGTGATGCGCTTCTGAAGGTCATATCGTGTGTACCATGTGGAAATGAGATAGATGCAGCAAGGAAGAAATCCTCCCTCCAAGATTCCCAGGATAAATCTCAGCCCAGTCAAAGCCTGCCAGCTGTTGGGAAATCCGAATCCAACCTGTTCTCATGCCCGTTAGCCGGAAACTTGGTGTTAAATCGAGCTGTTGAAGTTTTTCGTACCAGCAAGATGCCCCATGCGAGGGTGATTCCAGGCAGAAAGAGCTTGGCTCCGAATTTTCGACAGGCGACAGTCGCGGGAGGTTCGAAGAGAATGAAGGAGATGAAGAAGACAAGGGCAATCAATGACTAGATACTCCTCTGTTAACTCATATTCTTGCCTTGTGATGGCGGTTTCTCAAGGCAAAATCGGCACTCACATAACGATATCCAACATCAAGGCCAAGGTCGACAGACATGCCAGCAATGTTGGCAGATCCAATATTTGTTCGGTCAATGAGACTGACGCAGTACATGAATCCAGTAGTAATGATCAGTCGTCGATCAATGCGCCGGATAATGTTGCGGTAGGCCGTTGACGATATGATGTCACCTCCATTTTCTTCGAGGCTGGCATCCTTGAGGCTGGACGGAGGCGCCAATTCGCTCACAATGGCCGCGTCTGCCTTGGATTCAGCCATCTTGGGGGATTCCGGCGCGTGTGTCATGTCGGGAAGGATGAATGAGTCAACACGAAACGTCGGATGAAGAATTTTTTGAGGGCAGAGGCTAAGGAATAGAGACGACGATGGTCAGCTTCATATATGACAAGGGGATATCCGTCTCTGGAGCTAAACTCTACCCATTCAAGGTATTGGTGTGTCACAAAACCAAACCCCGTCCGATAAGGGGGAGAAAGTTGGGGAGAGGGTTGAGAGCGGTCCGCGACGAGAGCCAATTCGTCTCCATCGCGTATGTGGAGATGATGGAGAAGGCCCACGGCAATGAACAGCCTCGTCTCTGTACCAGGACGGTCCCTTCTCATTGGATTTCATCACGACCAATTCCCCGTGGGGAATATGCAACATGCTGTCTGTGCATGTCTTCTTGCCTTTTCCAGGCCTTCAATTGATCGAAAATCACCATTGATCACGTCTTTCAAGTAAAAAGTACGTAACAGTTCTCCAACACGACTCAAGAGTTGGGGCTATTCGGAGACAGGGGAGTCAGCGGTAGGTGTTTTGCTGGTCCACCAAGTTGGGGAGTTTGATTACCTTCCATAACAAGAAAGGAATCAAATTCTCCGTCTCCGGCGACTCGGATCAGGTTGAGCCTCAGCTAACGAACCTGGAGATCCACTGGCAATGTCAAAATGACTCGCATGTACGAGAGCCATGTGCAATCAAAGCTCCCCCGCCATCTTGCTCTTATCATGGATCCAGGGTTTTATTGTTCATTAGTCCAAAGGACATGTCATCTTTGCTCGTTCCTCCGATGTTATGTAACAGAATCCATTCCCCCGTGATCGGCTTGTCATGGACCCTTGATTATTAACTACGGGACCAAGGTTTGGCGTAGTCGGAGATGGGGTTCCCCCACATGCGATAGCACTTGGTTCTGTATCCGGAAGGGAATCTAATTCCCATCTGATCTGTTCATCCCACGCAAACCTCATCACAGACGGCACCATGCCGCGAGCAAAGACAGGCCAGGTACGGGGCAAACCACGCGGCATCAGGCATGACAGAGACTGCAGCAACTGCAAGGCCCGCAGCGTCAAGTGTGACCTCAACCGGCCCCGATGTCTCCCCTGTGTCCAGGCTGATCTCACTTGCGGCGGCTGGCCCCAGCGGGTTGTCTGGAAGAGCGAGAGTACGTCGTCGACAGACAAACAATTCCCAAATGTATCGAATGGTGCGCAGCGCCGGCGCATGGCACCTAGACGTCAGAAACCACTGTCACCGTCGGATGGTTCTATGTCAGTGATCTCGTTCGCGCCGAACCCTGTACCAGCAGAATCAGATAGAGAAGAAGGAGCTCCGACACCGTTTCACGCTCAGCGTGGACCTTCCAATACCCCAGATGAACCGAGCATGCCCCCTGCCGAGCAATACGGACTTGCTCAGCGTCTACTGACTTTCTGTCGAAACGCCAAGCCAGCGGATCACTCTCCCAGCACCGCAGCTGAGGGAGATAATCATACGGTATCCGCAGACCGTGTAACTAGACTCGTGTCTCGAATCGACGAGTTCCTCCAAGCGCGCATGAAGACCTACGCCAGCACATCCTTTGCGCCCCTTCCACCGACCCCGTCCTCGCTCGACGGGAGACAGCCGTCGCCCCCACTGCTACTGCCGCCGCCGCCGCCGAGGCAGGACGACGGAGAAGCGTCTGAACTCCACCGTCTCGCCGCCCTCGCGAGCCTGAGCGAGGCTCTTGACACAGCTGACCCGGTCGCTTTTGTGGGGATCGCCGTCTTCGCCTTCTTCGAGGTCGTCTCGGACGCCGCGTTTGGGGAGTGGCAGACTCATCTTCGCGGCGCACGCTCCCTACTAGACTACCACTGCCGCAGCCGAGAGGAACTCGACTCCCTCTCACGCAGGGTGAATGGACTCAGCGAGATTCTCGGCTACTTCGCCTGGTGGGATGTTATAGGGATCAATATAAGGAGGCTCAGTGGACGGCATTCAAGCCAGGACGACGAGCCCATCTTCCTTGATTGGCATCGGGGCGTGGTGGGCGACGAGTTCTTTAGCACGGTGGGATGTCCAACTGATACATTTCAGGTGTTTGCGCTGCTCGCGGATACGTCTTCATTAAGGGAGAAGGACCCAAACAGTCCTCAGGTTGAGCTGGATACATATGTGCAGGCGATGGGCCAGCTTCTACGTCTAGGATCAGATAGTACGGATCAGGGGAAGTGCGGTGATGCTTGGAGATGTGCAGCAGCGGTGGCAGTATTAACATGGCAACAGCAAAGCGTAGATGGGGGGAACAATACTACACAGGGACCTCGGCAGGCGACGTTGGATGCTGCCGTGGACAGGATCTGCGAGCTGATTGCCTCCGCATCGCCAGCATCCCGGTTTTACATCCACATGGCCACGGCGGCGTTCTTTGCGGGGATCAACACACGCCTTGTGCGGCATTGTGAGGTGCTGCGGAGTTACTGGAAGGGATGCAGGATAGGGGAGCATCCTCGTTACTGGGGGGCGTATACAGAGTGTGAGGAGAGATGGAGGAGAAAGAAGCTAGTATAGCACCCGGGTAAGAAGATGATGAATATTGTATGAATACTCACTTAATTGAAGTACAACTCCCAACATGCATTGACGATGTCAGAGTGTATCGCTAGGACCTGCTCTATTGAACCAGATACCCATATCATAGCTGAAGACAGGCAAAATGCAACGTGATAAGAGGCGGCTTCGGCACGCAATATCACCACGAGATCACTGATGTTGAGTTTCCTGAATAGGAAAGCAATCTATTCCTCTGGTTTATCGGCGGTTCGGCTTCTCCACCAGAGATAGCACCGGCTACCAGCATCGTTGTTTAAAGATAGCAGCTAACCGTCCATCCACACATCCAGAGCCTCTCCTAGGTAGATCTTACATACACAGATAGACTCGCCAGGCATCATGAACATCGGAGCAACCAAAGTCGCCCACGGGCTCGCCACGCCCCCCGAGCCGCTGTCCAAGGACTACCTGGAGCGAGCGGCCGACAAGCGCGCTGAGCAGGCCGCTAAGATCCCTGAAGAATGGCGCCTGGAGCCCGTCCCTTCAGTGGAGAGCACCCCCAATGCGCTCGAGTTCATCCGCTCCTCGGGCGTCCTCAGCGCTGAGGAGCTCGCCATCACCGAGACCGTCGACGTGGCAGATCTCGCCCGGAAGCTCGCGGCCGGCGAGCTGTCGTCCGTCCAGGTCGTCGGCGCATTCTCCAAGCGGGCTGCCGTGGCCCATCAATTGACCACGTGCTGCACCGAGATCTTCTTTCAGGAGGCGCTGGAGGAGGCGAAGCGGCTGGACGATGTGTTGGCAAGGACGGGCAAGCCGGTTGGTCCGCTGCACGGGATCCCCGTCTCAGTCAAGGACTCAGTTGATGTCAAGGGTCACGATACTTCGATTGGTGAGTCGGGACAGCGGCGGTTGTGTTTTCATGAGCTAATGGTTGTTTGTAGGCTGGGTTGGATTGACCGACAGGCCCGCCAAGCGAGATGCCGGAATCACCACGATGCTGCGCAGGCTCGGAGCTGTCCTCTATGTCAAGACCAACATTCCCCAGTCTCTAATGGTGAGGAGAATCCCAAGAAGAGCCAATTCTTTACCTTTTTCTAACCTAGTGACTGTCTAGATGTCTGATTCATACAACCACCTCTTCGGGCAGTGCGTCAACCATCTCAACCGGAACCTCATTTCCGGTGGCAGCAGTGGAGGCGAGTCAGCTCTCATCGGTGCTCGTGGAAGCCCTGTAGGTGTAGGAACCGATATTGGCGGTTCCATCCGGATTCCCGCAGCGCTGTCTGGCATCTACGGTCTCTCACCTACATATGCTCGTCACCCATATGAGAGGCCAGGGTAAGTCTATTCTTCCTTGTCTAGAATTCAAGTTTTTCAACGGAGCTCTATTGACAGTTGTTCTCAAACAGACCTAGGCAAAGGATCATCATAGCCACTGCTGGTCCTCTGGCGTCCAACCTCTCCTCAATCGAGTCGTACATGGAGGCACTGCCCCAGGCAAACCCTTGGGAACTTGACAACCTCGTCGTGCCTGTGCCCTGGCGCAGCGAGCAGTGCACAATCAGCCCGCCAGGGCGCAAGCTGAAAATTGGCTACATCCTCGATGACGGCATCGTTAGACCGCAGCCGCCCATTACCAGAGCCCTAAAGGAAGTGATTGCTGCGTTACAAGGAGCAGGCCATGAAGGTATGACTGACGACGTGAAATCTTTGTTCTGAGCAATGTCTGACTCTTCTAGTATCTGAATGGGACACTTCATCACACAACTACGCTTGGGAGTTGTGGAAGAAGGGTGTCATGTCCGACGGCGGCCTGGGCTGCAAGAGACTATGTGACATGTCTGGGGAACCTCTCGTGGAAGGAATGTTGGTTGGCACCTCAGAAGATCTTCTTAGCACAGAGGAAACGCATCAGGTAAGCTTTAAGTGATTCTTCAGTCTTCTTTTTCAACTCAGACACTAATATGGGCACTTTATTGCAGCTCATGGCAGACATCGATGCCTACAGGGCCGAGTATCTCCGTAACTGGAACGAGGGTGGCTACGATGCGATTATTACCCCTGTTACTCCTTGGGTAGGATACAAGCCCTGGACCTGGGTAAAATCCAACCAGTATGTGGGATACACCACCCTCTCCAATCTCCTGGACTGGGCAGGTCTCGCTATTCCTGTCACCACCGTTTCCAAGGAGAAGGATCAAACACCACCATCAGATTGGGTAGAGTATCAGCCCAGGAATCCTTCAGATGAATTTAACAAGCAACAATGTAAGTCAAGCACTTCCGTTAACAACTCTATGAGGGTATAGCGTTCTAACTGCTCTATGTTAGATGATTTTAACCTGGTAGAGGGGATACCAATCGGCCTACAGATTATGGCTGGAAAGTATGGCGATGAGAAGTGTATCGCCGTAGCCAAGGTGATTGAGGATTTACTGAAGCAATAGAGCAGCATTCAATTTAGGTCAACATATAAAGATAGGCTG